ATTATTAACCTACACTGTGATCTCAACTACCCCCCGCTGGGCATAAGCGATTTGGTAGACTTTAGAAATAGTGAAAAATTTTCAGAATATCCTGAAAATGTATCAATGCCAATAAAAGATAAATAGCGGAAACAAAAAACATCAAATGGGCCTTAAATACTCGATACACATATTTTTTTCTTTGTTGATTCCTAATATCGATAGAGCAACACTGTTAAAAGCTTTATTGTAACACTTTGGTAGATTTTCAGTAATTGCCGAGTCAGTTGTTTTGATTTTCTAATAAAGGCAGTAGCACACAAATTATTATTAAAACAGTAAACCCGCGGGTGAAATTAAACATGTATTTTCAGGTTTATACAGCGTGTCGCACTTCAGATGGAAACCCGTCTGTATTTTATTTATTTTTAGAAGCAGGGATCTCCGTTTCGGTACAGAGGTAGAACGTTATGAGCTTAAGTGCTAAGGGTTTCCATTTCTACCTTCAGATAGGCACCCATTCTATTACGTCTTTGAGAATAGGAGCAAAAATGTATTCGAAAAAGTTGTTCAGAATGTTATTTTAACGGTAAATACCGAGTTTCAAGTCAAATTTTGGCATATTTTTTTATTTTTACGCAAAATCCGAATTTTTGTCTGAGTATTCTAAGGGAGCCATGGAAACAAGTTAACCGCCTCTAATAATTGTCAATTTGACATTAATTGCTTCATTGCGCTGACAAAATGCCTATTACTAATAATAATACTAACATCTCAGTTTAAAGAAGAAAATAGAACTAATTGGATTATTTGGTAATGGAGTTCGAAGACGCAGATAAGCTGCGGAAGAATTCAATATGAGACATCCACAGAGGAATCATATTAGGCATAAAACTGCAGAAGGGGTGAATTTGCGTTTCACTCAAACTGGAAGTGTGTTGAACAGTCTGCTTCATGCTCAACTTCGGAATCGAACACATAATGATGATTCCATCATAGCTTCAGTTTGTGCCAATCCTCAAATGCGTTAACGACTGAGTGCTGTTGCTAGCTGGATTAAATGGAAGTAAAGACAAAATTAGAAAATGTCTGGTTCGTCATAAAATAAAACCGTTCAAACCAAAATGTATGCACACGTTAAGAGAAGGAAATTATTTCTAACTGATAGAACAATTAAAAAAACATGTTTACGGATGAGTTTACCAATGGGATAATCATCTCAAAACTGCAGATACTGGTCTACAGAAAATCCTCATTTGGTTATTAACTGCAAAAGCCAAAATTCACAGTTCACAGAAAGTTAATGTGTGGTGCGGAATATTACCTTACAGAATAATTGGTCCGTTTTTCTTCCACATTACCTTAAACGCTGAGCGATCGTTTCATTTTTTAATAATGAATTATGGGATATTATCGAGAATCTGCCCATCAACGTGCGACAAGAAATTATTTTCCAACTAGACGGTGCATCTATTCATAACTCCCAGTTGGTCCGGGATTGGCTATATCGATACTTTCCATTAAGATGGGTTGGAATAAATAGCCCTTTTAGACAGTGGCCCTCGCTCTCCTGACCTTACGCCAATAGAATTATATTTCTGGGCTACTATCAAGAATAAGGTTTACAAAGTAAGGCCTCCAACTCTGCCCAAGACCAAACCCAAAAAACTGCCGTGAAATAAATGTAGCTGTACTTATGAGAGTTGCCAATAACAATCGAGAACGTATTGAAAAGTGCATAAGGCTTGATGAGTTGAAGCAGACCATATTTGATAATACTAGTTTTTCGCTTGAATTTTTCTGTTTCTTTGGTAAAAACTTCGGACTTCGCGTGAAAATTTAATAAAACTTTTAAGCAAAATTTTACTTTTGACTTGAAACTCGGCATTTACCGAAAATATTAAAATAACATTCTGAACAGCTTTTTCTAGTAACTTTTTCCGATATCTCCAATGCATCGCAAAATATAGAGAATTCCCCCTATTCGCATAGTCGTAGTAGACTGATGAAGCCTCATCTGAAGTTAGAAATGCGTACCCTGACCAATTAAGCTCATGACGTTCTACCTCTGTACCGAAACTGAAAACCCTGCTTCCAAAGATAAGTTAAATACAGGGGTGTTTCCATCTCAAATGCGACACATTGTATGTAAAAGACAATATCTTTGTTCCTTTTGTAACCATTAACCAGTATGACATCAAAGATAAACACTGTTTCTCAATTATTATAATTTTTTTTGAATAAGTTCTCGGATCTTGTAATCTCAGGATCAAAAATGTGCATGTTTTCCTCCAATAGAAACGACCTGTATATGCATCGATTGTTTCTAAACAATGAATAAAAGTGTATTTTCAGGTTTATACAGGGCGAGTTTATTTGATGACCAGTACAAATATCTTCGGAACTAGAGCAGTTAGAGAGTTACTCAAAACCAATTTTATTTTTCTAAAATTTGACAGCGGTCAGAAATATTTGGGAAAAACTTTTTAAAGTTTGTGGAAATTGAATTGCAAACAAAATTGCATAAGACACCTCTACAAAATAACTGTAAATTTTGACATGTCACAAATTTGAGTTTTTTTAAATGGCAACCATACTTGATTATTGGTTTACCGAATAGATCATTTTATTACGATTTCTGTGATCACATCGTTGTTTTTTTCGAAATTAAAGTGTCTGCAATTTATACTTTTTCAAATCAGTTGATCAAAGTTAGCCATGCAAAATAGTATGACATACAGCATTATTTCCATAGTAACATTATGTAAATAAATAAATTAAATGGCAACCATACTTAATTATTGCTTTACCGAATAGAACATTTTATTACGATTTCTACTACATTACAACTACGTTAAAGTTGGCAATAACTGTATTTTAATTAAGACGGCTGCTCATTTAAAGTGTTTATTATAAAAATCAAATGGTGAATAATATATCATACATTGATTAATTAATTAATTAGTAATATATCATACATTAATTAAATGAAATAAACATAGAATATTAACTAACACCCGGTATATTGAAGAATTTTGCAAACCAAAAATAATATTCTTAGAAT